GCACTAAAACTTGACTCTTTTCTGATCACGGTTATTTCTTACGGTTATTTCTGAACACGGTTAATAATGTGGATTTGTTTTTGATTTTTTAATTAAAAATAATCTCAATTAAGAAAAATTAATCAAGGGTGTTTATCGTAATTAACCAGGGGTGTGAAAATATTTGAGTYATTTTTRAAAGATATATGRTATTCTAGTCATATTCGCATAGTTCCATGGGATTTGAGTAATTTTTTCTTTTTATTAAGATGTTGAATCTTTAATAAAATGATGATGTGGTGGCAGTCTACGAGGAAAGAAGACTCTTCTATAGATTTTAATCATTAATTGACAACAAACGATTGTTTAGAGGAGGCATTTTCAAAATTCAAAATTTCACAATCAATATATATTTTTTATTTGTAGGTAATATCATCTGTTATCGATTTATGTTTGATTTCACTTTTCTAATTCCGATCTTGTTGATTTGTGCAGAAATTGAAGAACACTCAACCGCTCTGGTACATCTTGTTGATTTATAACGATTACATTTGTCCATAAATTTTGACCTCTCAATCAATAACGTGGGGACATTACAACGTTTAAACTGATTTCCATCCTTGTTTGGGTTTTCGACATATTCGTACCCGAACTCTGGATAAGTGCGAAAATTTATACACAATCTTTGTGATTGTGCTTTTAGATACCCGAACTAATTAAAATTCAAATTTTGTTACCCAAACTTCCAAATTAGGCGTACACATACCTAACAGATAACGATGTTAGATTTTCTGTTAAATATGCTGATTATGATGCTGAATCAGATGAGTTTTCGGCTTATTCGTGCACCAACTCTAGACATGTGTGCAAATACATTCTCAAAATCTAAATATTTTTTTTCTTGATTATTTCGTATTTGTTATGGTAAAAGTCTCTTTAATATTATTTATAAAGTGATTTTAAAGAAAATGTTTATGTGCCAACCACTTTCACCATTTTATTTATTAAATGACAATTTAATTGCGATAAATATATATATATCTATATTAATAATTTAAAATTACGTTTATAAAAACTAAACAATTATGTAAAAAATATATGTTAATTATGTTTTTAGAATAAAAATATATATTAAAAAAAATTTAACGAAACTAAAGACAATGAGCATCAGACATTGAAAATGAAAATAACATATTATGGTTTTAAAATAAAAG